AGAAAGAGTTATTGTGACTCATTTAATGATAGGCTTATAATATTACCTAATTATATTTTATATAAAAACTTAATTTATAAAATAAAATATAATTAAACCAGAATTAATAATATAAAGAAGTTTGTATTAATATACCAACTATAATACTATTTAATAAAAAACATAAAATACTACTATAATCAATATATTTATAATAATTTGTCATTTAAGTACTCAAAAATAAAAACATATAAATACAGTCAGACCTCGTTATAGTCACTCTTGATATAGTCACAACCTTGTTATAATCACACTATTTTTTAGTCCTAGACATTATAAAACATATAAAATTGGACCTTTATATAGTCACACTTGTTTATAATCACCAAATGTTTGTTTCCGAAACTGGTGATTATATCGAGGTCTGACTGTAAATGAATAAATGTTTATGTTGCCTCCTAGTGTTCGAAAAAGTCAGCACAGATCAGATTTGGATTTGTGCGGATCTGAACTGTTGGATTAGATTTGGCCCCTAAAATGTCAGATTGGGCTCAGTTTGAAAGGGATTGGGCCTAATTTTAGGTCATGTCTTTATATAATCACTTTATATAATAAATTTAAATTTGTCATATGATAAATTCGACTGTATTACACCTTGTACCACAATATAAATGATAAATTCGTATTTGTTATATAATAAATTCGAATTTATCACTTATATTGTGACAAATTTATGTGACAAACCATTGGATTGATACGGATCACTTCCAGATTCAATCCGAATTACGGATTCAGATCAGATTCCGGATTAACCAGGATTTTTTAATTCGTTTTCGAATACTATTGCCTCCTGTTATATGACCTTTTTGTCACAGGTCATATACAACATATAAAATATATAAGCAGTGATTTTTTATATTGATCATTGTTTATTTTCTTTTTTTTGTTTTAGCCTGTAAAGACGTTTTACTAATCCTATTTATTTTTCTTTTTCAGACTTATAGATCATGAGTTATTTCTGGTGTCATTATTATTGAAGTGTTGTTATTCAAATTATCCTTGAATTATCGTTACTGGAATTGCGATATTGAAATCGTTGTTACAGATGAGCCTTTCGGAATTGCCATCACTAAAGCCATTGTTACTAAAGTTACACTACTAAAGTGTCGTTAATAAAATGGAGTCACGTTATTAGAGTCACTATTAGTGGAATTAAGTTGTGTTTTTTGTTTCTCACTGTGATATTGCCATTACAAGATGGTTACTAGTGGTTTCTCTTGTCTTTGGCATGATTAACTGATTTTTTTTTCAAATAGCTAGTTTATAGAACTATCATTTCTGAGGTCGCTTAAAGCCAGATACATCATGGGGTTACCCGATATATTACCAAGATCAGACTAAACAAAACAAAACAAGATGACAAAGAAAAAATATAAAAAACCACCATTTAAACCAGTCTTGGTTTACTAAGAAAAATATCAGAAATGCGATTTTACTATAAGAATTACTTTTTTTTTTTTTTTTAATCTTCAAAGGTACTATAAGAATTATTTAATCTAACTTTAATCCTATTTTAATTAAAAATTAGAAAATCAGGTAAGCTTGTAATGTACCTGGCTTTAAGCATCCACCGTTTCTGGTGTTTGTTTATTAATCTTTGTTTGTCTAATTCGTCAATTTGTAATGTTAATATATCCTTTAGAATTTTATTTATATTATTTGAGCTTTCCATGATTTTATTCTATTCTAACAATAAATATTCCAAACACTAGGCCATTTTTTTGGATCAGAATCTATGCATTAATTAGCTAATTCAATATAGCAATTCAGGGTCGTAATCCATTGCAAATCTTTATTGCAAAATCATTAAATTAATAACCATCAAACGGTCTTTGTTCAGTTGACATCTCTAACATAATAATCTTAAAACTATAAATATCAGCAGCTTCTGTAAACTTTTGACCATCAAAACCTCAAAAGCAACATAAAGAATAACACTATAAATATCTGTGACATCTTTTTAGATGTCATTGCTGGAGTTTTGTACATGTAATCTTGTTTGGTGTTGTTAATCTTTATTGATGTGTATTCATCACTTTGGCATTGTTTTGGTTGTTATTTTTTACTACTAGAATCATATTTTTGGTCTTTCTGTTGCTAGATTGCTATTTGTAACATAATTAACTAATTTTTTTTAAATATCTAGTCATCATTTATAAAACCATCATTTCTGATGTTTTGTTTGTTAATCTTTGTTAGTTTAATTCGTTAACATCATTATTGGTGTATTGTTTTTAATGTCACTATTGGTAAGCCAGAATCATTATTAATTTTATTATGTATCATGTTAGTTGGTTACAATTATTCAATATATGCAATTTTGATAGTTAGAATAGGATAAGATTAGTTAATGATTAGAGTTAGATAGAATTAATTAGTTAGCAGATAGAATTAGTTAGTTAGCAATTAGAGTTAGTAGGGTTAGTTAATAGTTAGATTAGATAATAAAAATTCATACAATAAATTTAAATATACTTACGATTTGATTGGCTGATTATGTATCATGTGACCCGTGACAAAAATGTTATATAACGAGGTGCAACAAATAAATTTATCCTAAATAAATATTCAACTCAAAATTTTGTATAATTTGACTAATCAAATTTCAAAGCCAGCCTAATCTTGAAATTTGATTGGTCAAAAATTATACAAAATTTTAAGTCAAATATTTAAAGGTTTTTATTTTTAAGCAATCATTTAATTATAATATTACAATTTTCCAAAACATTAAATAAAGATTGAGTGATCAAACAAAAGACAACGTCATCATAAAGTGCAAGTAAGTGCCGCCAAGGGAAAATCTGTCATCGGGCTTTCAATTATATTTGTATCCAGTTTGTTCCATGAGTGTAGTCTATAGAGAATCCATCATCGGGTTTTTTAATTACATTTTGTGAAGTCGTCACAAAATATAATTGAAAGCACGATGATAGACTTCTCCAGACGGTACTTAGGGAGCATACTGGACACAAAATATAATTGAAAGCCGATAACAGCTTTCTCGTGGTAGCACTCATTATTTATTATATTCACAAACAGCCTTGAGTTCAGTGGCCGACGTATAGACGAACAGTAATGAAATATAACAATTTCGGAACCAGTTAACTCCAAACTGTTATTATTCATTTAATGCAAACAATCATTGCTCATAAACAAAAAAAATAAACTCGATAAGCTCTAGTTATTCATAAATACTCATGCATATATCCAGAATTGAAAGAATTATCCAGTGCATCCATTAATTTCCTGGACGCTTTACTTGACGAGGAATCGAATTGCTTCGCACCTATTAAAAGTTTGCTATAATAGCTTGCACACAAAACGATAAGCAACAGTTAAAATATGGCAGGGAATCTTTCACCACTTACCAGTAAGGGGTACAAAACGACAGAGTCACAGCCAGTGTTGTCACTAGTAGTAAAATCATTAGTGTTACTGGAACTTAAAGTTCCAGTGACACTAACGATTTTACTTCCAGTAGTCTTCCAGTGACAATACTGGTCAAAGCAACTAAACTATATTTGCGTAAAAAACAATTACTTACATCATTGCCGAAATATCAATACTCACTTCGGCAATTCGAATCATTTCCTAGTGGAATGTATACTAGCACAAAATGCAAATATTAAAAGTTGATTCTCCAGAATTAGATTCGCGAATATTACAAGATCCGAGTCAATAAAAAAACAATAGAACTCCGTAACATAAACGATATAGAAGACTGGGATTGTCACAAACTGTATTCAATCAATTGTTCGAGAGTACAGACTATCGCATAACCCAAAGCTCTCACATAACAAATTAAACCTAAAGCGTGGTCTGAAACATGGAAGTCATACCTCACAGCTTGGAAGCGCATGTCAGGAAAATCATATCCTATCCGGCAATTGACCATGGAATCTACAAGAAATCGAAGTTATAGGTGATAGAGTAATCAGTTTACAGTAGCACTAGTAACTGAGTACCTGAGACAACGACCAATTTCATTCACATCTTCAAAAAAACAATATGTTCACAGTAGAGATGCTAAGGAGATCTGTAAATAGCATTGTATTAAGTGGGTGTTGAATATAAAAAAAAAAAAAAAAAAAAGAACGTGTTCAGAGAATGATGTATAGTTCATTGCCATTATGACCAGGCTCGCTCACATAATATCGGAAGAAATGAAAGGATGTCTCAGGTGTACAGAGAAAATCCAAGATATTAAACACTTTATAATTAAATGTAGAATTAGTAAAAATTTGGAAAACGGTATACGAATGTTTTAAATTCCAAGCACCCCACCCCATAATTCGATGAAATAGTAGTAAAAACACATAATGTTAAGAGTTCCAATTCGATAAGCTGGTACTATGGTTGCATATAAATATAGTATACGAGATTTGGTTCTGGTATACTAACGAAAAATGGTGAACGAGCTCGTTACCAGAACCGGTACTGTCATACATCGTACAAGATCGAATATTAAATAGCATTAGGACATTATTACTGGAACCGAGGCTACATAAGGGAGAAAGGAAATTTTTACAAGATTTAATTAAAAGATAGCTGACAAAGCATTCCATGTCAAAGATATAAAAAAAGAAAAAAAAAAACACTTAAATATACATATATTGTATATAGATATAATCAATAATAACTAATTTCCCTATAAAAATTTATTTTGATACATGTATATACCTTAATATGTAAATATAATAATTATAATTTGGCTTAATAAAAGTGCCTGAGGGCACGGGGGAAAAAAGTATGGGCAGTTAAAATACTGTACCTAAAGGTATAACGATGCCGTAAATATTATTCCCCTCCTAAGTTTTTCACGAGCTTCAGAAAACTTGGACTCCAATTCACTTGTTCCAATGATCTTCGCCGCTGAAATCATTGCGCGCATTAGTTCGTCTAAGCTTCTAAAATTTCTAACAATATTACCTTCAAACATATTTATGCGCGCACAAGTTTCTCTAAATGTTGCATTCTACAGCAAATAAAAGCATTAATGTAAAATAAATAAATAAAAAGTAAACAGCATTAAATGAACTTACATTGCACCAGTGATATACACCCTCCATTAATGCTGGTGAGAAACTCGCTAGATATACGTCTTTATCAATTGGAATATTACATTCTTCAGTTACATCAGCTATGATTTTCGCAGTTTCCTGAACCTTGCGGAACAATACATTATACTCTTGTGGAAGCATGCCTGTTGGTTCACTTGGTATTTCGTCGCATACAAAGCAGCTTAACATAGCAGCAGTCATTGGAACCGATAATTCATTAAATACACCATTTAATAGTAGTTCCGTTAAAACCAATTCATCACCGGAAGTAAGTTCACATGCAACCCGACCCTTAAATTCAACTATATCGTTTGAAGACAAGTATCCCAACCGGCGAAGTAGACGTTTTCGCCTTTTGAGCTCATCAAGATGAAGTATTAATTCAGATTCGCGCAGTTGTTTTTGAATTAATTGAATTCTATCTCGAATTTTCAGTTTCTTCAGATAACTCTCGTAAATTTCAGGAGAATTTGTGGTTGGATTATGATTTAACTGTGATTTTATTACTTCCAATTTCTATAAATAATTATATGTAAGGCAAATTGAATTTCGTCAAAACAACAACAATATACTCACCTGCAAAATACCGTAAAGCCTATCATCTTTAATATTAAGATGTTCTTGAGGATCCATTGGACGGCCATCGGGCTCTTCAGAGATAAGCCTCAAAACGCTTTTATATACAGAGTTTCTTTGTGTGACATCATGTTCCAAATCATCGACATTTGATTTAAATCGAAATTGACTTAATATCTGTAGATCTCCAAGACCTACTGGAACAATCTGCATATGACATTTAGCAGAAAATTATAATTACCATTTTGTCAACTGTACAATTTATGCAAATACATGTAATTTATAACGACAATTTACCATACAAACACCTTGCTCATTTGGCGGACATGGCTTCACATCAAGATCTACTCCATCATAAGACGAGAATGAATCTCTAGTTACTTTTACTAACACTTTAATCTTGTATGTAATTTCTTCTGAATTAAAGTTCGCTCGCATTCTAGACGAAATAGCATTATTATCAAAAGGCTCTTGCTGCTTGATAAAAAGTCATAAAATTAATACGTTTTCGCTTTGAAATCCAACTTAACATTAATAATCCTTACCATAAATTCATCACAACGTACTATCACACCCCATCCGAAATCCATACCGTTGAATTTAACCTTCACCAATCTGCCTCTATTTAGATAAGTCAAGCAATGCTCCGGCTTAAAGATTATATCTCGGACTTGTTTTTCAAATTCACCTTGAAGCAGACGTAGGTTGTGGTATTGAGAAACTACTTCCTCTTGAGGAATTTCGATCATCGAGCACTCTTTTTCTAAGTTTGATATTTCTGGTTTATTTAATAAACAGAATTAATGAATCAATAAAAGAGCAAATATAAAAATATCACCAGAAAAACATTTGTATACCTTCTTTCAATCGGGGTATAGGTGCAGCATTTTGAAATTGATAAAAACTATGCTCCAACATATACTCTGGGCTAATTCCTTCGATCCTTGAAATATTAAGAATCATGTGATATTTTAAGTGAAATGCGGAGGACATATAGTCAGCTTCGCCCTAAATAATACAGAATATGTTAATATTCATTTTAATATGACGTAAAAAATCATTAAAATATACCTTAAATATTTCCTGTAGGTCTTTAGGCGTGATTGCCCTATCTACATTCATAATAACAAATCCACGTGTGTCAAGGCCTCTCCTACCAGCGCGACCAGACATCTGAATATATTCACCAGATGTTATCTATTCTCGAAACACACAATTATATAATAAGAAAAATTAAAGATGTAACAAGCTTTCAAACGAATTAAGAAATTAAAGGCAGCCTACACTTCTTGACTTTGTTCCATCGAATTTAGACAGTTCACAAAATACTACTGTCTTTGCTGGCATATTTAATCCCATTGAAAACGTTTCCGTAGCAAACAGAACCTTTATCAATCCCTCTTGAAATAGAAGCTCAACTATTTCTTTCATAAAAGGTATTAAACCCGAATGGTGCACACCAATTCCACGCCGCAAGAGCGGTAATAAATTCTGAAACCATGGTAAATCGCGATCTTCCTCTGATAAAAGCTCGATGGCATTATCAATGACTTTCTTTATTAGTTCTTTTTCTTCTTCTAAATAAATTTGAATAAAAAGTTTATTTACATAATATCAAATAATAATCAGAACAATAATAATAGGAAATTTAATGCTTGCCAGTATTAAAATCCATTGAACTCATCTGCCTCGCAAACAATTCGCATTGTTTTTTCGAAAAATCGAAAGCGATAACAGGATTGAGATTTTTCACCATTAATGTTTTAATGAGTTTATATACATTCGTCAGTTCGGTACCTATATTTTAAATTATTATAATTAATGATACATTAATGCAATATTAAGAAGTGTTCGTTTGAATTATTTATACCTTTTTTGGACATGTGTGCAGAAGGCGGAAAAGAATTTGGTGGTTGTTCTAAATTGGCGACTGCTTGTTGAAAATTATCCTCTCGAAATCGACCGTTCTCATCAACTACCAAATATATTCCTTCTGCACCATCTGGGAACACATAATGTTGTAAAGGAGTTGGACGGAAATCTGTATACACAACGTGACATACCTTGGAATAATTTTCAAAATGAGATAAGTTTTTACAACGAATTGATTATAAATTCACATCTAACTCTTCACAGATATACTACCTGCTGATGAATGTCACATATCCATTCTGCAAATTCAAGAGCATTTGGAATCGTTGCTGATAAGAAAACAAGGTGTACGTTATGAGGTAACAAAATAATCGTTTCCTCCCATACAACCCCTCGCACTAAAAATATACCATATTTATTAGAATTATTGTTTCATTATCACTACGTATTGATGTAATCATGCTAAATGGGAGTCCACCTTTATCACGCATATAATGAATCTCATCAAAAATCACCCACGCTACCTCCCGTAGTATCTCATTTCCTCGATACACCATGCTGCGTAAAATCTACGCGATCAAATGAATTATTTTAGTATAACAATTATAATAGTTTCCTTTTGAACAAATAAATCATTTCCAACCTCAGTGGTCATCACTAAACAACTCGCACTTGGATTGAGAGTCACATCCCCAGTCATCAAACCGACGTCCTTAAATTCATGTTGTAATTCTCTATATTTTTGATTACTCAAAGCCTTTAAAATTTCATATTAATCAGCTTTTGCATTTAAGCAAAATATATTAATTAGAAGGGTTCTCGTAAATTACCTTTATTGGACTTGTATAAATGACTCTTTGCTTGTTTTTTAAACTTTGAGCAATAGCATATTCTGCGACAACAGTCTTAC